AGATAAGAGCAGCCAATGAAATAAAAAGAAACTCTCTCTTGTCTCCCACACTAGCTGGGATGTGAAGAGGGAAAAATGGACAGCCAATCTGGGCAAACAGAGTCTCAGATACAACTAAGAGAAAGGGAGAAGATAACATTCAAACCAAATATAAAAATAAACTGAATTGTTAGTATTTTATTAGAAAACACAAAAACCGACCAACATATCATTGTGGGATGACAAAGGGAACTCAATAGCACTCAGCTGAGCCCATGGTGGGTTAATCCCCTTACATGAGTTGACATGACCCGTAGAGTAATTATATTTTTGTATTTTCTTGGTTATACCTTATTATACATGTCCTTACTGAACTTTCTCAGGAGTTATTCTTCCTGCTCTCTCTGAGATGAAATACATCTCCTTAGGTGACCCCTTGTCACATGGGGTGGTAGAGGGGATGGCATCTATCCACAGCCTTCTGATTACTTTAACTGAATGTTTGACATTTTGTCAGAGCCACTTTTTAAGTTTTGCAGATTAACCTCTTGCTCTCCTTGGGATTCACCAGTTTCTTCAATGGATTGCCAACTCTTTCTATGGGTTTTATAAGGGTTTAGCAGTTTCCCCATGGGGTGTTTTTGTAAGCCTGTCGCCTCTGACACACCATGAAGTCTTAAGGAGGTGACCAGGGCACAGACCTCTATCATAGATCTCTTCTCTCTTCCTCTTCCCTCCTCTTTTCTTTCCTCTCCAACTCAGAAAGACATTTTCTGTCTATGTATTCATGAAGAGAAAAATATTTCCCCTAATTAAGTGGTCTCCCAAGTCTGACAAAATTTTTCAGCCTAATAGCTGTGGTTCATTGTGGGATCTTCCTTGAAGTACAGATGCCACCTGGCTTGGTCTAGTATATATTATCATAATTAAATGTCACAAGTAGGGCAATTTATCCAGATTAGAATTTTGTTGTTGCTGTTGTTTGTTTTTTGTTTTTCTGAGACAGGTTTCTCTGTGTAACCCTGGCTGTCCTGGAGCTCACTCTGTAGACCAGGCTAGCCTCAAACCCGGAGATACATCTGCCTCAGGCTCCCAAGTGCTGGGATTAAAGACATTCATCACGACTGCCTGGCAAGAAATGTATTTCTTAAAGTTCTAGAATCTGAGAATTACATGACAAGTTATCTTTACCTGACAAAGATCTTCTTGCTATATCCTTCCACGGAAGAAGGGAGAAAAAAATGTGAATAGGAAGTGGCTGAACAAATTTCTATAACAAACATATTGCTGAAATAATACCCATCTATTCATGAGGGGGGAGATCCTATGACCTAATCATCTCTTAAAATTCCCTCTCAAATGTTCAGACTTAGATGAGACAACTGTATCACACCCCCTCCCTACAGGCTCATCTTCCAACATCTTGGAAAAGGGGGTAGGAAGATCGTAGAGTCAGAGGTTGTACAAGAGTGCTAAGAAACAGCATCTTCTAGTCAAGCTAGCATCTTGGGATCTTGGGTGGCACTCAGACTCTCACAGCACCTATGGCAGATGCACAAGACCAAGTCACTCAAACTCCCAGCACGCATAATGCCCCACTCTCAGCTGAGGAAATATTGGTGGCTGACGGTTGCCTTATGTAAGCTGAGACAAAATAGACAAAAATATAAAGGTTGGTGCTCTGTGTAAGAGCTGTTGACAGTCACTATGTTCCTGTCCTGGGAAAAGTGACTGAAGCCAGTAAGCCTCTTAGAAGAAATGTCAGACTGGTCAATAAATACTATTTCCTGTTGCTGCCTATGATGACTGAAGCAGGAATGAGTTTTCTTGTGTAAGTCCCTATATTGACATCAGGGTTTCTTTTTCTCTGTAGAATATTTTAGTCATCTTGTGATATCTATCTTTGCCTAGTGGTATTTTTATACAAACATGTCAAGTAACACAATATAACTCTGCTGGGTTTAATTTTTGTTTCTTTCTGTTTTAGGCGCAGTCTTGTCGTCTGTAACTCTGTGCATCCTCAAACTGGCTGCCCTGTTGCTTCAGCACCTTGGATGCTGAAATAATAATCAAATTACACAGTGTCCAGCTACACAACTCAGGTGCATAGTAATAAACTTTTATCTTCTTTATTATTAAGTCAAATTAATTGGAGTTGTGGAAATTCGTTATTGATCATTCTTTTCACATAGTGAGACAAGTTCATGAGCAAATGGTAACTAACACCAAATCTGTATGTCAACAGGTGAGAACTGGGCTATTTACTCTTCAGCTGAAAAGCATATTCCTCATTTAAAAACAAGCGACCTGTCTTAGTTAGGGTTACTATTGCTATGATGAAAAGTCATGACCAAAAGCACCTTGGGGAGGAAAGGGTTTACTTCATTCAGAGTTCCATATAAATGTCCATTTTCAAAAGCAGTAGGGCAGGAACTCATGCAGGACAAGAGGCTGAAGGAAGGAGCTGATACAGAGGCCATGGAGGGGTGCTGCTTCCTGGTTTGCTCCTTGTGACTTGCTCAACCTGCTTTCTTTCATTTATTTATTTATTTATTTATTTATATTTATCAGTTATTTATTTGATATGCATTATCCACCACTTTCAAATTGGCAGCTTTATTATAAATGCAAGAAAGCAAAAGGGAATTAGGGAAAGAAAAAGCACAAATACACGGCAATGATGTGCTAGAGACTAAAGATTTGTCTCATTGATCAAGTCTATCGTTGTACTAAACTTGAACAAAGCCCCTCTGTCAGCAGTGGGAAGTACGTAATACAGCACACCATTGCTTCATAAAGGATGGCCGTATTACTCTCAGAGGCATTGTTTAAAATGGTCTCTGTAGGGGACAGTAAGCCACGCTTGTTAGAGGTTGGCTACTGGTGTGCCTGACCACGCCTGTCAAGGCGTGGTCAAGGTGAGGTCAGGATGACGTGGCATGGGCTCTTAAGAGACTGTAGAGCGCATGGAAGCCCCTTCTCCTGCCCCTTCTCTCTGGCCTCGATGCTTGGCTGCCCCTGGCAGGCTCTGGCTTGCGTTTGGCTGGTATTTATCTCAAAAAAGATATCTCGACCTTGCAGATTATGGATTGTCTTTTGGGTCACTCTATAGGTCTCTTTTTTGTCTTGGGTTTTTTTGTTGTTGTTTTCCATTTTTTATTTAAATTAGAAGCAAGATTGTTTTACATATTAATCCCAGTTCCCTTTCCCTCCTCTCCTCCCCTGCCCCCACTAACTCCCTATCCCATCCCCTTTCTGCTCCCCAGGGAGGGTGAGGCCTTCCATGGGGGATCTTCAGAGTCTGTCATATCCTTTGGATCAGGGCCTAGGCCCTCCTCAATGTGTCTAGCTAGGCTGAGAGAGAATCCCTCTATGTGGAATGGGCTCCCAAAGTCCATTAGTATGCTAGGGGTAAATACTGGTCTACTATCAGAGGCCCCATAGATTTCTGAGGCCTCCTCACTGACACCACATTCATGGGGTCTGGATCAGTCCTATGCCGGTTTCCCAGCTATCAGTCTGGGGTCCATGAGCTCCCTCTTGTTCAGGTCAGCTGTTTCTGTGGGTTTCACCAGCCTGGTCTTGACTCCTTTGCTCATCACTCCTCCCTCTCTGCAACTGGATTCCAGTTCAGTTCAGTGATTAGTTGTGGGTGTCTGCTTCTACTTCCATCAGCTGCTGGATGAAGGCTCTAGGATGGCATATAAGTCAGTCATCAATCTCATCATCAGGGGAGGGCATTTAAGGTAGCCTCTCCTCTGTTGCTTAGATTGTTAGCTGGTGTCATCCTTGTAGCTCTCTGGACATTTCAGTAGTGCCTGATTTCTCTTAACCCTGTAATGGCTCCATCTATTATGGTATCTCTTATCTTGCTCTCCTCAATCTGCTTTGTTATAGAAGCCAGGACCACCATCCCCAAGGTGTATCACCCACAATGGGCTGTGCCCTCCCAAATCAATCACTAATTAAGAAAATGCTTTATAGATTCACCTATAGTCCACTTATATTTTTGGTTGTGAGCCTAAGCCACCTCTCTAGTCCTGCCTACAACCCAATCTTATGGAAGCATTTTTGAAATTAAGGCTCCCTCATCTCTGATGACTCTAGCTTGTGACAAGTTGACATTAAAAACACAAAACTAGACAACACCAAACCATTGACCAGATTCAATCAAGACTGTGCAGACTCAAAAAAAGAAAAACTTCTGGCTGCGTGAAGGGTGCTGATGCTGCTAGGAGCTCCAGGTGACCAGGTACATGACCCCACACCAAGCAGCCTGCTGTTCCTCACAGGACAGAAGATTCTTTATGGTCCTGCATCTGTCCAATAACCAGAGGTAGACAAAGCCGTCCTGTGTCAGCATCCCACTTGGTCTTTTCTGTGTACTGTTTGAGACCTTTCTAGAAGAAGCTTTGTTTTAAGTGAAAGATGTTCACGTGTGAGCTAAAATGAGTTTGTTCTTTGCTTACATGGTAACTGTAAAACTAGATCTTCTTGCAAAATGCAGGCAATAGGAAGGAAAGCAAGATGACTGAGCACAGAGGTGCACACCTATGATCCCTGCTGTTTAGGCAGTAGTAGCAAGAGAATCATGGGCTAGCCTGGGCAACATAGAAAGGAAACTTGAGAAGGCAATATGTTTTCACAAATAACAAGAAATAGTAAAAATCTTGTGAGATAAGTTTAAAAAAAAGTGGGACACTGAGATATCTAACTTGGGATTCTGGTGAATATTGACTAAAATACACACTATGTGAAGACATTCATTGTAAATTCTGTTTAATACATTTCTGAAAACCCCCCAAACAAATGGGTGTTTATGAAATGGAGTCAGAGCCAGTAACCAAATCCTTTCATACTTTGCATGCCAAGCCTCTTACTTGTAGTCATATGACAATCAAATGAAGAAAAGTAGGAAATGACTATCAACTGAGAGGGAAGCATTGCCATAACGCTGGCTGTGGGAGGATTAAGCAACAGATGCTTCTCGGTGAGGAACCTAAAATTCAGAGTCAATCAGAATGGTAATGGTAACCACTTATGTTACTGACAATAATTATGCTGTCAGGTATAAAATCTTTATCACGTTTGTGGTCTCTACGATAGACTGTGTTGTTGGTATTGTTGGCAATGGTTTCATCACAGTCCTCTACGGGACTGAGTGGATCAGGAGCAAAAGATTCCCCACTGGGGACCAACTTATGCTGATGCTGAGTTTCTCCAGGCTTTTGCTGCTGATCTGGATAATGGTAGAGATTACTTGTAGTCTGTTCTTCAGGTTCATTTATAGCCAAAATGGCATGTATAAACTCTTCAAAGCTGTCACCGTGTTTCTGAGCTACTGTAACCTCTGGTTTGCTGCCTGGCTCAACGTCTTCTACTGTCTGAAAATCGCAAACTTCACTAACCCTCTGTTCCTCATGATGAAGAGGAAAATCACAGCACTGATGCCTCAGCTCATGAGTCTCTCGGTGTTGGTTTCCATCAGCCTGAGCTCTTTCTTCTCAAAAGACATCTTCAATGTGTACGTGAACAATTCTGTCCCCATTCCTTCCTGCAACTCCACGAGGAGGAAGTACTTCTCTGAGACCAATGTGCTCAGCCTGGCTTTTTTATATTATATGGGGATCTTCCTCCCTTTGATCATGTTCATCATGGCAGCCACTCTGCTGATTGCCTCACTCAAGAGGCACACCCTGCACATGGAAAACAGCACCGCAGGCTCCAGGGACTCCAGCATGGAGGCTCACTTGGGTGCCATCAAGTGGACCAGCTACTCTCTCATTCTCTACATTATCAATGCACTGGCTCTATTTGTTTCCATGTCAAACCTCTTTGATACCTACAGTTTCTGGAATAGTCTGTGCAACTTTATCATGACCGCCTACCCAGCTGGCCAGGCAGTGCATCTAATCTTGAGAAACCCTGGGCTAAGAAGAGCCTGGAGGCGGTTTCAGCACCATGTCCACCTCTACTTTAAAAGGTAGAGCCAGTGACTGGAACCCAGGGAATATTATAAGACCTGGTCCAACCAGTTCTGCTTTTCCTCACAGACCTCTTCATTCACTTTTCCCCCATACAAAACCTGCTCTGACACTAACTACGCCTCAGGTAACTGGATACCTACATGAATTTGAAGTTGGGTTAACCTGAAAATCTAAGCTGAACAACTTGAAGACTGACTTTTAAAAAAAGAGTTTCTTGACGGATTCATTCGTCTCCGGCCCCAAACTCTTTTTCACTCTCCACAAACCCCTGAGTCTTGGGGGATGATCTCAGTTTAGCCTGGAGAAGCTCTGATTGCTGTCTGTTATTTATTAAACACCCTTTGATCCTTGAAGATATCTTGATCTAGATAGAAAATTATCTGGTTAGTGTACTTTTAACTCCCTGATAACTCCAGAGACTACAAAGACTGCTGTCAGGCACAGTATCCAAGCCTAGAGGGAGAAGAGAAACCAGAATTCCTATAGAGAAAGGAATTTGGGAAAGAACTGCTGATCACAGCTATTAAGATGTAAGATGTTAGGTCTTCCAAAATGAGTGACACGTGATGAGGCTTTGGATTTGATGCAATGGAGGCCATGCTTATTACTGATGGAGTGATAGGGTGGCATCCAACTTCCAGAAGTTTCCAGAGAGGGAGAAGCAAAGGTGAGAGTATGTACACAGAGAGTTTGTAAAGACCAGTCAGTAACACAAGGGTTTCTCTGGATTAAATGATAAACCAGAAGGTGGAAAATGGAAATATACTCAGTCAATTGAATGATTTATTTTTCCAAATGAGAGGAGATGAAGAAAGAAGAGAGGAAAACAAAGATGAAGGGGCAAGTGTCAAAGGAGCAGCAAGGCCAGATAAAGCGTCTATTATGTGTACTAACACTCACTGGCCACCAAAGGGCCACCTACTGGCTTTACCTATTCCAAGCTACCTTGAAGAAACTAATGGGAATAGCTGTGGAGAAAAAAAGCTTTCCTCTTCATTGTCACTCTTCAGAACTGCACTGGCAACATTGTTTCAAATGATTGTTTACAAAATGGGAACTTGAATATCTCTTCTATTGTGTACTTAGTAAATTAAAATTAATGGAGAGAACAAAGAGAATACTGCTGCTCATAGGAAGTTAGGGAGCTCCCAAATGAAACCCCAGATTGACAGCAAAGACAAAGACTAATAATTCTGTGTCCCTTGCCTCTCAGATTAATGTGATGGAGTGCATTACACCTGGAAACAGCAAATGAGAAAAACAAATCACTACCCACACTCACACAAAGCCACTCATTCAACTATGTTACCTGGTAATTGTGAAAACCCATTGTTTGATTTTTTTAAGTGATACCTTATTTATTTAAGTGATGATTACCTTCTTATAGTTGTTATAGTAAAAAACAAATTAGATTGCAAGTTTCATTCTATTCCTATGGAATAGAGAAAAGAAACACATTTTCCAAGTAGCAGATGCTGACAAAGAACTTCTGCACCCACTGTATATGTGCTAACACATCACAGAAGAAGCCGGAATGCTAACAAGATACTGACGTGGGTAATCCCTCTCTGGGTGGGCTTGTTCTGAAGAAATGGTGCCTCACTGTTTGCAGGCACCTACAACAGCAGACAGGAAGCTGAGTAGCTCCACTGTGGCTTCTGTGTGTCTGTGAGTTTGCAGACTGCAGGAGAGGCAACGGATTCAGGGAAGCGCTCGCCTACTGTGTCCTCCTCTAGGAAGAGGTAGCAGAAGTTTCTTGTGATAAAAAGAAGATGGAAAAATTCCGGAACCTGTAGCTAAGAGCAACAAGTCTGGACAGGAATGATGTGGGAAGAATAGCTTGAGGAGAAAAAAAAAAAAAAAACTATGAAAGGGAAGGTGAGGGGTGCTAAGAGCTGAAAGTCAGTCTTGGCCAGTGCCAGTTTGGGAGAAGCTTTCTTGCAACAGCTCTGGCTCAGTACTTCACGCCCAGCAAAACAAGAGTCGTCTAAGAGTATTCTGAAGCAATATTTCTAAACAGGATGATCCCTGGTTAAGAGTGGGTATAGCAAAGGTGCTCTATGTAGGTACGTTCATCTACCAACAGCCTCCACTGAGAAAATAAAATGTTCTGATTCATCTTTCATTTACATATAAAAGACGTCTTTTATGTACATATTTATATTTAAATATAATGTATGGATATGTTATTTACACATTCATATACAATGTTTTATGAATGCTGATTCAGGATGCATCAGGGGAAAAAAAGACATAAGAGAGAATTTTTTTTATTTTTATTTTATTTATTTGTTTTGGTTTGTTTTGTTTCTAGTCAGGGCTTCTCTGTGGCTTTGGAGGCTGTCCTGGAACTCTGTAGACCAAGCTGGCCTTGAACTCACTTGTGCTGGGATTAAAGGCGTGCACACAAACACCAGGCACGAAAAAAAAAAAAAAATTAAGTGATGCAAAAAAAGAGCTGGAGAGCAATGGGTCAGTAGTTAAGAGTAATTGCTGCTTTTGCTAGGGACCCAAGTTCAGTTCTCAGAAACCACATGATGGCTCCCAACCCTGCATAACTAGACCCACGAGATCAGAAATCCTCTTCTGGCCTCTGTGGACATCAGGCATGCACACGGCACACATATATCTATGCAGGAAGACATTCATACACATAAAAATAATACATCTTTTTCTAAAAAGTGATATAAAGAGAAAAGGATCTGAGGTTCCCTGGATTTGGGTGTGACTGGGTAGTAAACCAGGATGCAGAGAAGACCCCCAAATTGGAAAGTTAATAGGAAAGCTTGGGGGATCTCTTGGACAGTGGCACCTGTACCCCCATGTGGTCCTTACAGGCAGGAAACCATATCCACGCCCTGACTCTGCTCTTTATTAAGGTGGGACATTGCTGTGACTGCATCCCTGAGCCTCTGAAACTCCTAACATCCACCTCTAGACTCAGTGTCCTGAGCCCACTCAGACCCAGCTGTATACACGGAGCACTGGGTCTGGACACTACTTAGACTGGGGAAGAATGTGACCACAAGGTCAGTAGTACTTTGTTTTAATTGAGTGGAAAATGGAGGGCAGATGCCCTGAAGCCTTCAACACCACCACCACCACCCCACTCCCCACCCCCCACCCCTGCATCTCCACTGGGCAAGAAGAGAAATGGTTGCCAGGCAGCCAGAATTCCCACTTTAACTGCCTGGGAACTGTTTCAGTGTTGATTTGAACAAAATAGGGCACTAGGTCAAGGGGCAGCCAGCCTTTCTACCAAAAGCCGGATAGTAGATGCTTTAGTTTTTGTGAGGCACAAAATGTCTCTGTCACAGGGACTCAGCTCTCATGTGGCAGAAAAAAAAGAAAGAAAAAAAAAACCTGTAGGAGACAACATTTAAAAGAATGGGTGTGGCTATGCTCAAAAACATCTTTATTTATGGACACTAAAATTTGAATTTCATATCCTTTTCAAATGTCATGAAATAATATCTGCTCTTGAGTTTGTTTAATCATTAAGAGTGTTTTTAAAAAAAAAGGGCCAGGCATGATGGCACATGCCTTTAAAGCCAGCACTGGAGGGGAAGAGAGAGGTGGATTTCTGATTTTGAAGCTAGCCTGTTCTATTCCAGGACAACAAGGACTACTCAGAGAAACACTTTCTTAGGAAACAAAAAAGATAAAAAAAATATTCTTAGTGCCTGACCTATACAAAGAAGAGGAGGAGGGGAGGAAGAGGCGGTTTAGATTTTGCTCAAGCCACAGTGGCAGACCCTGTGTGGCAGTAAGGTCGCACTGTAAACCACCAATGCACAAAGTAACAACCTGTGGCATTCAGCTTTCCCAGTATTTTGTCTCTTGTTATTTTTCCAGTTGCTTTCCAATCCTTTTAAAATCCTTTTCCAATCCTCTCAAACACAACCCTACAGAGAGAACCAACTCCCACAAGCTGTCTTCTGACTTCCATACATGCCCAGTGACATACTTAAGTTTGAGCACATGCACACACACACACACACACACACACACACACACACACACACACACACACACACACACACACATAAATATAAATAAATAAATAAATAAATAAATGAATAAATAAATAAATAAGTGAAGAATAAAATTAGGGCCAGTGGAGTGGTTCATCGGGTAAAGAATGACCTAAATTCAATTCCTGGGATCCACGTGGTGGAAGGAGAGAATCGACTCCAGCAAGTCACCCCTAGCACTCTAAACCAGGCATGTGGCCCATACTTGTCATCCTGTCACTTGAGAGGGGCAGGCTGGAGGATCAGAAGTTCAAGATCATCCTCAGCTACAAGTCAAGTATGATGTCTGAAGAGAATACATAAGGCTGTCTTTAAAAAAAGAAAAAAAAACACACAGCCCTCTGGTTCTTTGTAAAAACAAAACATCTAGTTTAATAGTTTCCTCTGTGAAGGGTGTTACACAGGGCCTGGTGTTTTGAAATACACTCAGAAGCCACTCACTCAATAGTCATAAAGAGCATAAATAGAACAAAGTGCACAGCTTCTGTCTCTTTGAGAACATTTGAAGGCGTTATCTGCAGTTTCAAAGAGTCACATCCTTTTCAACCGGCTCCGCTAGGCTGAGCCTCAGGCTAGACCATTTCTCTTCCTGTGTCTAATCTGCATCCAAAAGTTTTTGCTTTGTGTTCTTTTCATGAGTAAGTAACAGGATGGCTTAGAATATGATGATATGTAATCTCCAGAGTCCTTGTGGTCTATGAGGAAAACACACTCTTTGATGCCAAAGCTCTAGATTTGGATTTCTGCTGTGGTGATCATGGCTACCACTCTGAGCCATCTGGAAAGCAGAGATAATCATAATATCCACTTCCAGGCTTGCTGTGAGGCTCAAAAGTAATGATAAGTGTATAATATGCTAGAAAGCACCATGTGAAGGTTGATGCATGTATTCATTTAAATGAATATATATTCAGCAATTCAAAGACTAGGCTAACAAAAATCTCTTCCTGTAAGAGTGAATTGTCG